GTTCAAACTTGGTAGGAGTACAGGCGACAGGATAGGAATACTTATGGTGGGTGGCAGAACAGAATCCGCCCACAGGAGGCGAAGTTTGAGCGGAAACTCATAAATCCGANCCCGGAGAAACTGGTGCCAGCGCAGTAGACCGCTCGGCCATCTCGTCACTTTTGCTTTTCGAGAGAACACACCCCAACAGAATTTCATTATAAATTCTTTGAGCAATAAGCACGCAGTTGATGACAACAAAACTTTTGACGAGAGTGGGATTCGAACCCACGCCCCCGAAGAGACTGGTGCCTAAAACCAGCGCCTTAGACCGCTCGGCCATCTCGCCACTGGGTTCTTCTCGAGGGGACTGAAATCTTCTTTCTCCAGCCCTATGTCACCTCTTCTTAGCTTCTATGTACATTTAATAGAAGGCTGCTGAAATAGAAGAACCTGAACTTCGAAATTTCCAAAAACATCTTTCAAATAGTTGAAAATAAAAGCTGTCATAGTCTCTTATGAAACAACATGGAATTTTTCCAGTTAGCCTCTTTGTCCAGTAACCTACGTATTGCATTGATGAAATCATGAAAAAAACTGAAACAAGGGGGACGGGACTTACGTGCGTCCGAGAATGTGCGCAGCAACTTGCACGGCGATGTTTGTGACGATTTGTATGACGATTTTTATGACGAAAAATCTCCGCTGTTTTATCGTAAATATTTGAACTAACATTTTTTCAATCGAAAATCAACTTCAATCAAGAACATATCGGACATTATACCCTATGACCTCTCGCCAGTCATCTGGTAATCTCATAATTCCATTGGTGTAGAATTACTGTAGGGAAACTCAGGTGAAGTGATTTTTGGCCGATTTTTGGAACCTCTTGCCACTGCAGGACCATCGAGATGTAGGAAAGATCAAAACAGATGAGAGAATGAGACGCTGGAAGCTCCGGAACCTGTACAGTGAATGCAATAAAATTCCCCAAACCAGAACTTTTCGAAAGGCTTTTGTTTGTGCAGCGCATTTTAGAGCTCTCTTGGTAAAAGTGCTTGCTGGACTGTTTCATTTCGAGCATATGCTTGTTCGAGATAACGTCTTGAACCTCGCTCGAGATGAGTTGTGGCGGAAAACCGCAGGCTTTTCACACAATCTAATATGCCGTTCTTTCCGCCAATTTTCAAAATAAACTTTGGGTAAAAATCCCTCGACAGCTTCGGGGCGGGATTCGAGCGGAATTCATAACTTCTGTCCCCATGGACCTAGAAAGTTCAAACTTGGTAGGAGTACAGGCGACAGGATAGGAATACTTATGGTGGGTGGCAGAACAGAATCCGCCCACAGGAGGCGAAGTTTGAGCGGAAACTCATAAATCCGATAAAGGTCTATAATGAAGATCAGCTCATGCGGCTCCGTCTCTCATGGCTAAGCCCCTAGCGCGCGCAAGAGCGTGCGTAGCCGCCTGGTAAAGAATATATCACTTTGGGAGTACGCTAAGTTCAAGTATAGCATTTATTGCAAAATGAAAAGGAGAAAAAACCATGAACAGCTTCTTCCTGGAAGCTCATTCTAGGGCAGTAGACCAGTTTGAACAGACAAATTCGTGAAGCTGCTCACTAGTCATTCGATACAACGGTAGGTTCGTATGTGAATTCAAAGCAGAAGGTCTGTACTGACCTTTTCTGGCAAGAACATCAGCTGCATTTATTCCAACGGAATGGAAAGTGTAGTCGTAGTTATATCAAGTTGTGTGATAGGGAAAACTTCCTCAAGATTGGTGAGGACAAAGTTCACTACGATATGTGTCGTCCGGAAGTCGGAGATAGATTGATGTTCGACCGATTTCCCCGATAGCTGGACAAAGTTCACAAAACTCCTATTAGCGACGCTACTGCGAGTTGTTACCGGAAAAATTTTGCAACAACAAACCATTCTTAATAAAGTTAATCATTAATTAATAAAATAAATTATAATAAAATAACATAATGAGTCGAATATAACAACTAATATAACATATTCAATATTTTCGCCTTTTTATCGCGAGTATTTAATGAAATAACGCTGTTTGAAGGCTAAGTTATTTGTTGAATGTTTAGTTTATAAAATAAAATGAGATGATTAGGCCGTAAATCCCGAACAGTACTTAAATTGGAGGAAGAACCGCCACCTTGAATAAAGAAAAATTTGTAATATATTCCAGGTAAAGCAATTTGAATGGGNACCGGAAAAATTTTGCAACAACAAACCATTCCTAATAAAGTTAATCATTAATTAATAAAATAAATTATAATAAAATAACATAATGAATCGAATATAACAACTAATATAACATATTCAATATTTTCTCCTTTTTATCGCGAGTATTTAATGAAAAAACGCTGTTTGAAGGCTAAGTTATTTGTTGAATGTTTAGTTTATAAAATAAAATGAGATGATTAGGCCGTAAATCCCGAACAGTACTTAAATTGGAGGGAGAACCGCCACCTTGAATGAAGAAAAATTTGTAATATATTCCAGGTAAAGCAATTTGAATGGGTGTAGTTTAACACCGTCATAGAATCCTTATCTCGACTGAGTCATTATCGGAAGTGCCCGAACAATGCGTTCTATTCCAGAGACTACACTCCGCTTTTGCTTCAGAATTTGAACGTAGGCTGTTACGCAGGTACCTGGTACAACAACGCGTAGATGATTTCTCAGAAGTAATTCATTTCTGACTGACAGGAAGTTTAATGAATTAATGGGATTCGGCATCACAGCTTAATTTTATCAAAGAAATTGGGAAAATAAATAGTGCAATATAACAAGGAAATGATGCAACATACTGAGCTATGCATCACAAGAAGAACTATTCAAGCTGAAAGTATCGACAAGATATAGTGATGATGTATGTAGTGCTAACGACTCGAACTTAAACTGTTCAACTATAGTTTCGGCATTAGTGAGATAGGAATCAGAAGCCTCTAAAGTTAAGCTGTTGTCACTCACGGTCGAATAAAAAAAGCCCTCTCCCACCGGCCTAAGTTTCCTGGGAAAGATTTACTTGTAGGTTTTCGTAGTGCATGACCCTAGAAGGGATATTTTAAAAAGTCATCAGATGGCATGATGACGGTTGACCCAAAGTTTGACATACCCAGTGCTATCCATACCATGGCAGATGCGTTACATTTTTTTCGTACTAAACTAAAGAACAGTACATTTGCGTGCGGAGGAACTCCAAAACCAATACATTACTATACAAATATGGTTAATAAAGACACGCTCGTCTTTGACCATAATATCTCTCTTTTAACAAATACTCTGGTATGGCTATAACTAGAATAAACTTCCTAACATATGAATTCTCAGACAGAATTCCAAAGTCACATCAAGTAGCGTTCAGATGCGAAAATACGACTTATTTGATGGGTCCACTGTTCACAGACGCAGGAGCAAAGAAGTTCTTCCGTGACGGTAGAATAGTTAACAAAAGTAACAAATGCTATAACAGCTCATAGGTTGGATTGAAACCTTGCAAGCCAAGCCTCAAGCCACAATGAGTTCTCATAGAATTGATGTTTTCTTCGTTTATGCCTTTTTTTCTCTATATAATGAACGTTGAGTCCTACGATTTTGGAGACCTGCTATTAACCAATGGCCTAGATCCATGGGAACAATTAAGTCGATCTTTGTCAATTAAATTTCTTCTTGAGCACTTTTTCCTTGCTCAAAGCCTCACGTTTTTAGAAAGGGTATTGCCAGGACAGCGTTTAGGATCATTTCCATCCTTTGGAAGAATGGAACGGAAAGACCATGACCAATGATCACCTCTGCTCCACTACAAAAAGGGTTGGCTGCACCGCTCTGCTGATTTCACAATGGAATGAACTATGATCCCATCACTGATAGCGCCATTTACCGTATATAAGCGAACTGGCGTTCTCTGTTGCCAAAGTTCTCCAACTCAGACCGACTAAGCGTTAAATATCTTCTTTGAATTCTTACGTATTGTGTGATACTATTATAGTTACTCGGTTCGAATCCAGAGTTGTTTCTCATCACTTCTTTATTCCGACAGAGATACGCTTAGTAAGGTGTTTGTTGATCAGAGGAAACTATTTTTTTCTCATAGCAGGAGTCATTTCTGCGATTATTAGATCATGATGATGCTAATAGCTCCGTCATTTCTGCTCAGCACCTATGTACAGCTATATCCTGAGAATGCATCTTGTTCAAAGAACTCGAACTGGAACGAAAACAAGAGCGAAACTATTTTGTCTCATAGTAGCTGAAGCGGCTCGAAGCGAGATACCTTTCCTAACGTTAAACAGGACAACCCTATGCGCAATAGATCGGGGTTTACCGCACTGGGACTTGTTCTATCAACCTTTTTCTTATTCAAATCCCTTTCGAAAAATCTAGAAAAAGATTTTTAAGCCTTGACGTGACGACGAATTTTGGTTAACTAATGGATGAGAGTCAGAAAATGAAAGTAATATAGGCTAATCTTCTAGGCCCCTCTAAGCCTTATCCCCTTTTCTCATAGCCTAGCATTCTTTCACTAATTTTTCTTTCTCTTTGAAGCTTCTCTATTGACATTTCCAAAGTATTATTCGTGTGCGTTTTTCCGAATAAGCTTATTGACCGCAGATAAAAGAATTGATACAGTAAAAGAAGAGGTTTCACTATGTGGGGGCAAGGTTGGTTTTTAGTGTTTGTGAAAACTCCTCGAATCTTTGCATTTCTTCGTCCATTTAGTGTTCTAAAATGGAAAACGCACGCAACAAAGTTAGAGAGTAGCCTATGTCGTATTTGTTCGTTATCCACCTTTACTAGGCTCCACATGTTTCCCATGACTTGGGAGTGCTTAAAATAAGAATTCGTTGTGGTCACGCGCTAAAGTGCTGTTTACCTCATTCTTCTGCTCAACCATAGCGCGATCGTAACCCTTTTGCAACATGAGACCTCTGCACAGACTTCTACTGACGCATGATTTTCTTGCGAACTTACCGCGGTCACATTTCTATGAGTAGGCGGAACGGGGTGGTGTGATCACGCCATGCAGTCTAGCCGATCGCGAGCTAAATGACCGCTACACGTCTGCGCATGCATCGCGAGTTTTTATCGCTCCTCGTAGTCTTTTTTTTTGCGAGTTGGATTTCTCCGCTATTTCACCAAAACTTAATTTCGTCACCATCTATAACGGCACGCCGAAAATTTCAGCCTTCGCATGGCAGCGATTTGGAACGTGGGTCTTCATAACTCATCCTTTTGTTGTAAGAATCCTCCAGATGGAGTCGCCCCGAAAGCGTAACGCAACAAGCCGTTAACATAGATTTGCCTCTATGAAAGATTCTATGCATTCTGCAAACATCCTTTATTTCAAAAACAGTTTGCGATATTTATTTTGCTACTGGGAAGACAAAAGGGTCGTGTTTTATATACAGTTACTTGGGCTGGTATCCCTAGTCGTCCTTTGATTCGGTCCTCTTTACTGCTTGTCTTACAAACCCACATGGACTACAGCATAAGCCTGTTCGAATCTGAAGAGAACCTCTCAGAGCTTACACCCTATAGCCGCAATTTCTTGAATGTTCTAACCTTCATTTATCCTGAAGCCGCCCTCGAAGACTCTGACCGTCCTCAGTGAGGTCCTGTGTTCCTTCGTAAATTCGCATAGTTCTCAGCAAACGAATTTTCTTGCACCTACACCTCGTAGTTTACTTTGTTATAACCACCTTTTTTCAGGTAAAAATGACAATCCCAACGAGAACGAACACTGCGAAGAACGTGGTTGTTGACAAAGTGATCGCTGAACAATTCCTCGCCGCAGACCTAGCCGAAGTCGAACAACTACAAGAAGAAGGAAAGAAGGTAACTTATTTTCCATTTGGAATGGAAATTTCAAATTTCAGTTGATATTCGATTATCGAGATTCTCAATATTCTATGCTATTGAATTTCCAGTATAATTACCGAAGAAAGGTCGTATTCCGGAACGTAGCCCTCTTTGCTTTTCTTCATGTTGGAAGTCTCATCGGTCTTTATCAGGTCGTGTTTGATGCGAAGTGGCAGACGGTGGCATGGAGTAAGTGTTCTCATGTTTATAGCCCATTTTATTATCAAACACCATGTATCCCGCCTATGTAAATCTAAGCTCATGGGGGTAAAACCATGAACTAAGACGGCTCAAAAGGGTTTTTTTTATTTTCCTAACAGCCTTGCAGCTTTTGCAGCACATATGTACCTTGGTTTTTGGTGCTTAGATGGTTAAATTTGACAGCGTAGTGATTTTAGAAAATGATGATAAGGAAAGGCGCAGGGAAATAAAAACGATGGGATAAGCAGTCAGTTAACTCCACTGCTTTGTTTATTTCGCCTTCGGGTTGTGATAGGTGAGTATACCGTCTGGCCATTTTAGATGGCATCAGGCGATCAACAGTTCCATCACAGTGTTCCCATACACTCAATGCTACACAGCGTTCCCTTATCACTTGTCATTGAACTTACTAGTAGCATGACTGATAACCGTTTGACGTCAACCAACCTATCAGCAGTGAAAACACTGAATGGGGTAAAACCCCAAATTCTAGCTTCAAAGAATACAGATCAGACTGCACCCTTAAAGGCACAGTTCACGATAATTTTGAGGAACCCGTTTTTGTTCGAAAAGCGGAAGTATGGATTGGAAGTAGTACATAGGTAGTGAAGAAAGCGAGAGAATTCACCGATTTCGAGAAAAATATGGTTCTTCAAAAGTAGGGGAAATAGAGGTTGGACGGGATTGCCATGACAAAAATAACATGGAAGGGGTATTCGGACAAGATTTCAGTTATTGCAATTGCACAAAGAGCTGACTACATCAAGCCAAAACTGTACGGAATATCTTTCACTGTCGCTACGGACTGTTGAAGTGTGTTGTGTGTTGACAGATTGTTTGAACTTCCTTTGGATCGGTGCAGCCTCTACAATGCCGGTGAAACTCGTCCACAGGACACACACTGGCCACTCTTTGCGCCTTTATAACTCCCTAACTAGGCCGTTTCTCGACCTATTAGTGCCAGATATGGTATACACGGGGGCCTCAAATTCATCCTATGTGGGAACAGATACCATTTTTATTGTGTACTGCGCCTCTAACTAACGGCTTAAATCCCACTTCCGGCGTTGATAAGTTTCATCGGAAGCGTCATTGCACCTGAATTTGCTATATGTAGCATCCTTTACCATCTTTAGAACTGATTAATCTCATGAGCGAAAACTTATTTCATTATTGAGAAGCCACCTTCCGTTATACAAGACATGACGGAGAAAAATGCGACATCTATTCTTTTATAAAATGATAATGCTTTTTTAAAATGATAATGATGCCCTTTAGAGAATACTGGTTTCTGTCACAAAATCTCAGTTTACAATTTCAGTGGTCTTTCTACACATATTTGGAGGCCTCGGGATCACCGCTGGAGCTCATCGTCTTTGGTCTCATCGTTCATATAAAGCGAAACTACCAGTTCGAGTTCTGTTGATGATCATGAACAGCTCCGCTCTTCAGGTAGTGAATGCTATTGAGATTTTACTGCGTCACCTACTCTTTGGAAATATGGGTAGTTTTAGCAAGAGAAATCAAAGCGCCTTTAAAACACTTTCTCACTGGTATGATTATCGCGTAGTTAGAATGCGGACATGGTGGCGTGATCCTTGATGAAAGGTTACGAGTGATCGGAATAGGGTTCAACTATCAGCGATAGGCGAATCAACAAGCCCTATGTTCCGGAAGAAAGGGTGGATAGGAAGGCAAAATGAAATAGTAGCAATCGCTAATAATTGTATATGTAGAATACAATCACGTTCAGTCGACTACCTAATCTTTCAGAATGACATCATCGAATGGGCTCGAGATCACCGTTGTCATCACAAATGGACCGACACCCATGCGGATCCTCACAACACTACTCGTGGCTTTTTCTTCGCCCATATGGGATGGCTCCTGGTCAGGAAACATCCACAGGTTCGTCATTTATCTCTTATGAGGCCATGTGCCTTATGTCCTTTTCAGTATGTTAACAATTTTTTATTCTAATTTTTCACCATGTCATCGTTATTAGAGGTGTTTCAGATCAAAGAGCAAGGAAAGAAGCTGGATCTCTCTGATCTCTACGCCGATCCGGTATGCACGTTCCAAAGAAGGTAAATTATAATTACTAGTAACCATAAAAATATCGTCCGTAAAATGTAGAATCGTATTCCCTCCCTCTACAGAACTTTGGTGTTGGAACACAAATATTCTGAGCACACTGATGAGTTCCTCGCGCGCATTACACATTACCGCCATGAGAAGATTAAGAATTCTTGAGATTCAGCTTTGGTACCCGTATTAAGTTTTTAAGCTGTATTTGGGACAAATTTTGCTGTCTCTACCTTCATGCACCTGTTCATACCAGGGTTCGAAACCCTTACGATAGAAGTTTAATCGGTCTGAATGATACGATGAGGGAACTAACTATGGTCGAGTGATGGTTGTGGCATTGCGCTATCCATACCATGGCAAAAAATAATTTTCTGCTAACGACCAACCAAGAATGCTCGACTGGCGGATTTTTCCCAGAAATCGCGCTCCCATTATTCTGGCATTTGCCTGCTACTGACTCTGATTTATTGAGCGACATCGACCTTGTTCAGGTACTACTTACCGCTGGTACTGATTTTCTGCTTCTTGTTGCCGTCAGCAATTCCTGTCAAGTTCTGGGGAGAATCGGCTTTTGTCGCCTTCTACACTGCTGGACTTCTGCGCTACACGCTTCTGCTTCATGCCACGTGGCTGATCAACAGTGCTGCACATAAGTGAGCCCTAGAAATCCTTTGTAATTATCCCACCACTGATGATGTTTTTTTGCTTCAGATTCGGATTCAAGCCTTATGACAAGAAAATCTCGCCTGTCGAATCAGTCTGGACCACTGTTTCAGCGATTGGAGAAGGCGGTCACAATTTTCATCACACTTTCCCTCAGGTGCGTCGGAACTTAGCCAAAATTACAGCCTCAAGCGGTAAATGTTTATGTCTCGAAGAAAAAAAAAGACGTATTATACGCAGCATCGTTTTTTCCGTTCCACAACATGATTCCAGGATTACCGTACTTCGGAATATTCGCTGAAGTTGAACTGGACTAGAATCTTCATTGATACCTGTGCAGCTCTCGGCCTCGTGTACGATCGAAAATCGTTTTCCGAAGAAATCATACAACGGCAGTGCGAGAAGCATGGCAATCCTGAGGATCGTGGAAAGGCGATATTATAAGCAAAACATACCTCGAATGGGTGTGCCAATTGGGTTCTGCTCGTTGGATTGTATATTGGTATTATTTCACAACGTTCATGATATCATCAGTAAATGTTCTCCTTATAATTACGTACTCAATTGTACATAGGACTACTGTAAAGTGGTCATAGTTGTGAAGGGTTCAAAAATTTCACATTGTTAGGGCGAGACAAGGGAGGAATCATCACCTCTGAACTAACAGAGCGATCCTAAGTGATTGGTGGCTCATCTGCTTCTCCTCCCTATCGCTCATCAACATGCGATCCGCTACTTTTTTTTGGCTGGCCTTTTTCACAGCAGCAATTTTTCATGTTAATGATATATTCCGCTTCAATCCTAATATCAGTGCGGCTTCAAAGCACATCCCTCCAGCCGAAACCCAATTCGTTCCCTACAAAATGATTTATTGACATTTCCAGAGAAGCTCAAACCAGTGTAAGTGTTGTTCTCGCGTCTTCACCCCGACAAAAGCTGTGCAGAAAGACGGCAAAAAAAGCTAATAAATGTGATAATCAGAGAGAAAGAAATTCTTTTTTGAACTGTCTCAATAATACAACAGATTTTAAAATAATCAAGAGCGACTTATAACAATAGAGCAGGAAAAATATTCGCAATTTTATAAACTTACCAGGCGGCTGCGCACGCTACCGTGTGCACTGGGGGCTCTAGCCATAAGGGACGGAGCCACATGAGCTTCTGACTTTCATTATAGACCGTTATCTTCTGAGTCTTTTCTCTGACACTTATGCAGCGGCCATAATTTTTCGGGATGTGAATTGGGGCTGTGTGTGGCCATGAAGAACACTCCGATGTATCCAAATCAAATACCTCCGCAGCCCATATAGTCGAAGAAACTCTGTGTAGTTTGGGCTGTGTGTTGCCATGAACACTAACTTTGAAGAGACAGCCCTTTGAGTAGTTGCAAGGATTTACACGTCTCTACAGGGCATGCATCTGTGTGGCCGGGGTTATTTTAGAATTTATTTTATGAGGTCCGAAGTTAATTTAGTGCATTTGCTCTTGTTTAGAGGGGACTGCTGTGTGTGGAACCATGAATACTAACTCTTAGAAAATTTTCAGCCTAATTTTTGAAATAGTTTAGTTGTACACCTGTGTGGTCAGGGTTAGTATGAAGGACAAATGTATAAAACTTCGATCTCAGCCCCGCCCCCCTCTTCGCAAACCCCCCACTTCAGACTTCGATCCACATTACTTTTACTACCTCCAGACACCTTTTCCGCGTCCTAAAACGCATCTGAAGAGACTTAATAATTTTAATGTAAGACTCGCCCATTTGGTCTAACTTACCAGTGCACACCTCTGCCACCTTTACATCCCAGTCTTGAAGCCGTCTTGTGACTGAATTTAAAATCATGGTCCTCAGCACAGCTCATTTCGATGCATCCCACGCCCATTAAGGAGGGGGCTCCGCCAAGCTTATGTATGCTTTATACTTCTTGGGACATGATCCACCCAACCCTCGCTTAACCCAGTCTCTCCACGCGGATCTAAAGGAATTAAGGAATTTGCGACTGACACACAAAGCGACAGACGAGAGAACGACACACGAAGCGCTTTACAGTAAGTAGGATCTTCGTGCACCTCCTTACATTCTACGTTTTGAACCAATCTCAAAAATAAAAAGAGAGAAAATAAAACATCATATTTTTGTAATTTCATTAGGATAATATGAAATTTGTATCAGAGTTATCGCCAAATATGTGTGTTATTCGTAAAAGGAGGGCACGGAGAGAAGATGCGAAATGACGACGATGTAGGCATAGGCGTTGGTGCTAAAATAGTATTCTGCTGTGCCACTTTGGAAAATTATACACTGTGTAGAGTGGGTACTCGAACGAACTTCTGACATTTTAGTAAGACAGACCTCGAAAGACATTTGAAAAAGACAAAAATTGCATGATGGGATGTACAGCAAGTGGACGCCCACTTGTGGAGATGGAAGGTCGCCGATGTACAGGCGAAATGGTGGCAATCTGAACAGCAGTGTTGATGCTAGAATGGTCCAATTTTGGTACTTTGAGATCAGAAGGTGCGTCACTTCATTGAGGGGGATATCGAAAGAATTGAAGCAGAAAGCTGCAGAACAAAATTGCAAAATGAAGCTTACGGCTGGTGGACACCTACCTAAGTGAGATTGGCAGAAGATCTCCGTTGGACAGGCGAAATGGGGGCGATGTGGACACAACGATGTTGATGCTAGTTCGATTGGAATCAGAAAGAACGTCACGTCGTTAGGTGTGATCTCGAAAGGCTTTTAGAAAGCTAAAACCTGCAGAATGAAATCAAAGCCAGTGGGCACTCGCCTAAGGATGGACAATTGGAAGACTCTGGTGTTCAGGCAAAATGACGGTTATGTGGAAAAAGAAGCTGATGTTGAAATAGAAATCAACTTCGATGTTTTGGAAAAGTCTGAACCGAACAACTTTCGAAGTTTAAGGAATGCAAAATGAAATTTACGGCTAGTAGCCACCCGCTTCAGGGAGAATGACCGAAAGTTCCTTTTGTGCTGACGAAAAAACGACGAAACATGGAAAGAGATGAGGTTGCTAAAATAGAGCTCAGCTGATGTTTTGGGAGAGGCTGATCTTAAAAGATTTTTGGAAAAGCTAGAAAAATTGCGGAATAATTTTCTTACATCTAGTGGACATTGAGAAGAACTGAAGATAAATAAATACAAACGATAGTATTAAAGCATAGTATTATGATATAAGGGGGACAAGTCAAGGAATTAGTTATATTATAGCAAATAGATAATTGAACAATAAGATAGGAGTTAAAAAATGCATTGGAGTTACTGAAATATGGGCATAAGCTAAAAAACCTAATACGGAAGAAACCCTGATAACAAACTAAAAGTTAATCAATAATAGCAAAGTGGAGTGAACAACAGCAAAGTGGAGTGAACAAACAACTAAGTAAGTGAAGAGCACACCTTAAGTTATAGATATATTAATAAAGATGATTAAAAGAGAAATATGATAAATACTTAAAAAATTGCGCTCCTATACCACATACGCGCCATTGCGCGCTATAATTAGCACCGGCTTCGTAGACCGCTAATACCGCGACGCGCCTGACGGACGGAATTAAAGGAGCTAGTTGTTCTTCACTATTTATGTTTATTTTTGTATTATTCTTTTATTATTTTAGCTATTTATTTGTAGTTAGGCTTGAGTACATGATAGTTAAGCTATGCACACCTGCCTTAAGCCATCTAACCGTAGCAATAGTGAAAAAACACCCATAACCATTTTGTTACCCCAATGGCCATTTTAACTCATCATCTTAACTCTGGTGTGCAGGCAATGGCGGCAACGTGGACAGCGATGTTGATGCTAGAATAGTTCGATTGGAATCAGAAGGAACGTAACTTCATTGAATGTGATCTCAAAAGGCTTTTAGAAAGCTGAAAACTGCAGAATGAAACCAAAGCTAGTGGCCACTCGCCCAAGGGGGACAATTGGAAGACTCTGTTGTTCAGGCAAAATGGCGGTGATGTGGAAAAAGATGTTGATGCTGAAATAGAGAAGAACTTCAATGAAAACATGTCTGAACCGAACTTTTGAAGTCCTAGAAATGCAAGATGAAATTTACTGCTAGTGGACAGCCACTTTAGAACTATGACTGGAGGTCCCTTTTGCGCTGACGAAAAAACGACGAAATATGAACAGAGATGTGTTTGCTAGAATCAGAATATCTGGTTAGAAGGGACCTTCCATTCACTACGACAGCACTCTTCGGACCCGGAAAGCGTGGCAGCTCCTCGAAGGAATTTTTAGGAGAAAAGTTCAATTCCTGATTGGAGAAAAAACAATATGGTTGAATGAAGGTATCAGGCTAGAAGGGACCTTCCAATGACAACCACAGTGCTCTATGGTTCCGTGAGCATGGCAGCTTCTTGAAAGAGAAAGAAGGGAGGAAGTAGTTCAGTTTTTGATTTGAAGATGATTAATGCGGTTGAGTCAAAGTATCTGGCTGAATCACCTTCCAATCACTACGACAGTACTTTATGGGCCCGTGGAGAGCAAGGATTTCTTTCAAAAGGCGTTTTCGGAGAAAGGAGCTCGAGAATTTTTAGAAAAAGGAATGTACTCGAAAAAAACCAAATTCTCATTCTATAACCTCTGTTATCGGAGAGCGTACCTGAAGTCATTCAAGTTCTTAAGAGAAGTTTGTTCAAGTTTAGCGGCATGTAGCCAAATCTTATTCCGGAAGCTTGAGATGCCTATAAAGTCTTATATAGCATTACGAAAGTCACAATCATAGGTAAATCTGTAGGTTAAACAAAGAGGTGATAGATCAAAAACGAGTTGAAACCGGCTAAGTTTTTCATCTTGGTTAGCTGTGCTGAGAGTGGAAATTAGTTTAGGGTGAAACAATCATTTCAGCTGTTGTGATCTGGGTAGAATTTAGAAGCACGGTCATCTAGAAAAAGGGCAACATGGTTGCATCGGCTGCACCGTGTGCAACAAACACATCACCAAGTAATCCGTCTTGGTTAGTGAGATCAGTACAGTATCAATGGACTTCCTATTTCGTAACGTGTCCCTCATGTCAACATGCGCCCACGTGACATTTCACAATCCTTATAGTGCCTACGTGACCTTCTGCGTACGGAGGCACAAACCGACATACAAACAGACAAAATTAAATTTGAATTAAAATAGTTGAATAATTAAAATTAATTGATTGGAACAAAATTACCGCTTTATATTGAATTTTCTCCCGATGTTATTGGGGAGTCGGAGACATGTCAGCTCTTTGGAAGATTTGCTCGAACGGAATATACCCATTTTTGAGTGGGCGTTTATAGCTTGAAGCTGTGCACGACTCGAAGGTATCCCCAAACACTACCACAGTTTTGACAATCCTGTATGGAAGCGAATAGTCCGGCGGCTCTGCAATTTTTACCATTGGTAGACTGGTTCCTTTTAGGTACCTAGAACTACGATAAATGATGAAATGAGCTGAAAGATTGAATGAAAATGGCAAGAAATGTCAAAATAGGATGCGTGGGCAAAACAGAAAATACACGCCTCTCGGCAGCAAGGCTACGATTGGGTTGAACGACGCTGTGGCTAATCAATGTGATCTACTCTGCACGGTGATCGAAAATCATAAGTGCTGTAATCGAAGGAATCAACCCTTCAAACGTTGCTTACTACTTAAGAGATAAAAGGATGAAGTTTTTGGCATCCCGTCTGAGGGATGCACCCCCGCACTCGACTTCCATTCGGAATCGTTGTGGCGTAATGAGTGCATATGTGGCCTCTACAATGACTTGCGGTGGCCAGCCTATATACAAGTCAGTGCTTTTGTTCTCCTAGACGAGTCTGGTACCAATTTACCGACCCCGGAGGGATGGAAGGCTTGGTTGGCCTAGGCGGGCATCGATCCGGGATTTGAGCCCCTGACCGTGCGTGCGAGATAGCGCGCCTCTTGCCACTATACCACCTCCGCCATGATAATATAATAAACATTATATATAATAAATAAATTGAGAAATGTTTAATGGATACATAAATGTGCAGGAAATTAGAATCCTAAAATACAAGTACTCTAATAAAAGTGCATTTATAAAAAGGGAGTATACCGGATTAACAAGTATAAGCACCTATAAAACGAAATGAGGTAAAATACAGAATAAAAATAAGATAAAATAAAAATGGTTTAACCTAAACACACCATTCAAAATATATAAGATGCTTAAAGCTGCCATTACATAGAAGAGGAAAAGGATGATTTATGCAGTAAAACCAGCGCTCTAATAACATTAAACATACATACCAATCCCTGCTACATTTACCGCTCCGACCGCAACGCAGGTGAAGGATTGGAATACTGTGGTCCTGGAGATGCATTTTCTCAGACTGGTTCTGTTCAGGGGTGCCTCCAGCAGTCTCCTCCCCCTGTATAGCTGAAGGTCTCGCCGCACTGCCTGTCTGCAGATGATATTCACTTGCAGCCTTTCGAGGAGTGTGACGTTCTGGTCAAGCCTCAAGTTCCTTTTTGTCTCGAGAAGATCATTCATCGCATCTGAAATGCGAGCGGAGGTATCCGCTCGAGGAAGCTCGGCCTATTCAGCACAAGAGATCTCCGACCAGCGCGTCGTAGTCTTCGGTCGAGTCATCCAGGACCTGCCAGTCATATCGGGACAAGACGTCATTCAGAACATCTCCGTCGTATATAACATGCTTCGAGCTCATTGCGCGATGTTGAGAGATCTTTCTCAGCTTGTGACTGGATCTGATCTTAGCGCGAAGGAGTCGATGATCAGAACCACTGCAGAGGGATGGTGTCACACCAACATCTAGTAAGCACCACTTTCTGTTTGTTAATATGTGGTCCAGTTCAGCATGAGTTGTACCATGTGGAGACTCCCATGTCCAGCGGCGATGTTCCTTCTTCTGTAAGAAAGAATTTTGATGGAAGAGAGGAGCCGCGGGCAGGAGTTTAGCTAGACGGTTTCCGTTTCTGTCCCCCATTCCGAACTTTCCAATCCTGAACTCCTACTCTTGTGCTTCACAAACCTAACGTTAAAATCTCCAACAACGAAGTGGAAGGACTTTTCGTTGTAGATGTTCTCCGCAAGTTGATCGTAAAACGCATCGAGCTCTACTTTGTCAGCTGTAGATTGCGGCGAGTAGCAGTTGACGATAGAGATGATCTTCATGTGCGTATGTCGTAGGCGTAGGATGGCAAAGCGAGGGGACAGGACTTTGTGAGGATCGACGAGATGGACGACAGATGGGTGCAGATGAAACCAACGCCGCCGACGTTTCGCGGTGGAAGTTTTCCACCACGAATGATGGTTCCAGCATTCATTCGTCGTACGTCGGTCCTCCTGCTCTTAACTTCCTGCAGCGCAAACACATGATACCTAATGTGTCTGGCGGCAGCAAGGAGCTCATGGAGAGCAGCATTGGAAGAGAATGTTCTCGCGTTATAGATATAAAGTAGGAAGCAGTCTCCGTGTCATGTGGAGCAAGTGCTTTCAGTGCTGTGGTCCGAAATCCAAGGCGTCCTGCACGACCCGAGATTTCTTCGCCTGTCCCAGGTCGCCATGCCGTCGACGCCAGAGACGGCTAGGGAAAGTGTGCGGAGTAGTGAGGCTATTTTATTGCTGTTTTGGCAAGCTTGCTACCTGGAGTCTCAACGCTGCTTTACCAGGGCCGGTGCTGAGCCTTAACCATCGTGGCCATAGATACTCTGGATCAGAGGGAGCTGAGGTGGGCTACTCTTAGCAGTTCAGGCATGCAGACGTGTCGTTGAACTATTGACTATATACATGGATAGTTATATAAATAGTAATTAAAAATGGTGAGGCTCCAACGCAAAACTTTGTCCATTAGTAAGAAATTCAGGCATGAGTTTTCGGACCATACAAGCCGACATCTGATGCTAGTGACGAAAGCATGTGGCAGGGCGAGAGGATGCCTCTCCTTCGGTAGGCGGATACTTCCCCGAGCAACTCCTGCTCCTTAATAAAGAACGCGATGACTTAGACGTAAGGTACCGGGGCTTGTTGTGCGCAACCTAAGGGCACGGTCCAAGGCTACCGAGTTCTGCCCTTATCAATACTCAGCGGCCCCCACGGGTGGCAAAAGGGATACTCTCGCTCCCACACTATCGACGCTTAGGGCATAGTGGAAGCCCTGTTATTGCCGTGAATGGCTTTTCCGCCCCTCGATGATGTCACGCCAGACGAGTGTCGAGACAGTACAGATTGCAACCATTGATTCTAGGTCCCACACACAATCAGCTGATCGCCGATTGATGAGGCGATGTTTTTCTCCTATTGATCCCTTATTTAATTTCCTACTCCTAGAGGCTGAAAAAGGTGAGCTACTTTGGCTGCTACTAGAGTTTTTTGTTTACTTATGCTTATAAGTGAATGAATTTTTGCTTACCATAGTCTGTAATTCGCATCAGGACTGACACGCACGCAGTGAGACTCATTGTGTAGCTCGTCCAGACGCCTTACTCTTCTTCATTTTTCTGAACTCATTCTTGTCCAGCCCCCTGTTCAACGGTTTTTCGAAGCCTTTTTTCACTTTGGAAACACCGATTCACTCAGGATCTTCACCTTCATCGCACTACTTTCGATCTTGCCTTCCATTTTTCATCATGATCTGGATTACCCAAAATTTTCGTGTACTATGCCTTTAAAGCGTGAAGAACGAATTCAACCGCGACCTCCGGTTCAACGAGGACTCAAGTTAAGAGGTCGCCATCCCTCCAGTTCCTCGCATATCTACCTAACCACAGACGAAGCGGTAAGTCAGTCAAGGTAATCTCCCGCATGACTGAAGAGCACCGGAACTTTGCACTGGAGCATGAAAAACTAGAAAGAAACCAAAATATTATTGTTACATTAACCAAAACTGTTGAAAATCTGACCCTCCTACAAACCTAAACGCCACCCTCCCACGACGTTGAGGTGGTAGACCGTCAGGCGGGGATCCTGATCCGCATCAAAGAAATTCATCTAGGAAGTGCACAGGCCCGAAACGTATAACTTTTTATCAATTCAAGGCTTCTGTTTACCATAGAAATTCTATCGCGGAATACGTTTCCTAGAGGAGCGTTTCCAAACATTTCGTCCTCTTCCCTTTCGTATTGCTACCATCCATATTTCGACGCAATTCAAAAAAAATCAAGCATACGTCACATCGTAGCCAAAGTACGATCTCAAGAAGAATTATCATCTTTATTTCTAGTTCATATCAATGTAAAACAATCAAAACAATATATTTATGACATGATTATCCAAACTCCTTATTAATACCAACTGGCGGATCCCTAATCACGCTTACCCTCATCTTTCTCTCCAAGTAAATACATATTGACAAAGCAGAGGATAGCGGACAAAATCATTAGGAAACCTGAAATTTAGATGTTTGATTTTGTGCCAACTTTTGTCTTTCGTTCTAGAGAGCAGCGAAACATTCTTCGCAGGTTCGAGAAATGAAATAGCAACTCTTCGAAAAAATTGATTAATTCTCACTAATCGAAGTATTCAAAATCGCTCATAACTTATGACGCCAGCCATTGGAAAAAAGTGTTCGATTGAACACTATTACGCGCAAGAACATTTCCTTATCTGGCACAGAAAAGATGGGGCGCTAGAAAAATATTTTACTTCCTGAGTTGTCGAGGGGAAAAGCAGGGAGGCAGTTGAGAGCCGAAGAGCAAATTTGGCGAGTTCATACGTCAGGAGTTGTCAACAGCAAGGTAAAAATTATGCTACACACGCTAGGCTTCTATGCTGCATCTGGTAGCATAGCTGATTGTCCGACGCGAATAGCAGTTTCTTGGTTCGAGGCTTCTAATGTAAGCTCTTGGCATTCGAATGTCGGCATAGTACGGTACGGACTCCAGCAGGCACATAGAAAGTAACGTGCTTTGCAACTTCTCATTCCCCTTGAGCGTTGAGCAGGCACTGGTGTGTGCGGAAAGTTGGTATAGTCAGCCCTTCACTTTGGTCAATTCCGTCGGAAGTAGGCGGGTAAGGGGGAATTTTGTAGGGCGTAATTTCTTGTGAGTTGTAGGCTTTTTCAAGAAAACTATCCGCTGAACAGACAATCTGTCAGTCCTACTTTCAACTACATAGTGAATATGCTAAAAATAGGTTGGGATGGAGAGTGCTATATATTGGAAATGATGTCGACTGCTATTCTGCAATAAGTTTCCTCCACTAGATCGCTACTTGCAGTAACTTAAAAAAACATCATAGCTGAGCACTTACTTCCTACTCCGATAGCGCACCAACATATGATTTTGACTATATTTTTTGGTTTAAATAAGGATGAATTGAGATCGTCTCTAGTTCCGCTGTCCATTATGAAGGATTCGTTCAACCATATCAAAGGATAGGCTCCAGGCCGAAGAACGCTGTATTCTCTGAACAAGTTGAGGTGAAAACAAAACAAACACATGATTTAAAACAACGCAACAATTATCTTTGCATATCTCTGGAAGAAAATATTCCTTGGGGAGAGCGGTTCTCGTTAAGCGAGATTCCTAGGGAGACGGGCTATTAAATCGGGTTTGTGTAGTCAGTCGGTTCTCCGACCGCTAGTTTTTTAACATGATTCCACTGATTCATATTTGGTTGCTGTGCTCTTTACTCGCTGCGTTGCTTCCGCTTCATTCTGCTAAATTTCTCCGTGCGTAACGTCGGTCCCGCCGCGAAGCGACCATTCTGAGTGAACTACAACACACTCTCGGAAAGTGATTTCAGACGAAAAGGGAAAAGTCGACCGCTGCTCCGTTGGTCAGGCGTGCTCGTGAAAGTTCTGAATAATTCGAATATGCTGTTTTATGCTTCCTGGGAAGCAAGGCTATGTGGTGCTCTTTTTTGGGGAATGGCAGGGATATCGTATTCCGCTAAAAGACAGAATGCGAAGAGGTACATTTATACTTCTAGGCACTGGATTTCTTATTTATCGTTAATTCATGATCACAAAAATTTCCGAAAGTCTAAAATAAATTTTCGGTTCCTAAGAAAAAAAGCCCTTTTTCGAGTCCTCCACTTCTTTAACTTATGATATTTTTTCGAATTGAAGAACAACTTACCCAATTGTACTGAATTGATTGAGAAGCATGTTTATTTGAAGTCGCTTGTTAGCAGCCAGAACAGTACCAGTAGTCTGAAGAATCCATTCTTCAACATTCTTCATATTTTTTTTTGATTCAAATCTGTACCGGTTCGATGTCGAGTGTTGTCTCATCATTGTCGTATGTTGGCTTAAACCGTGGAACAAATGACCGCACAATGTTCGAAGCTTGGTAAAAGTGCGGTTTTGATATGATCACCGGACCTGAACGAATTTTGAATCTCCTAATTTCATTCTAGGCGCTAACGGGTGGAGGTGCTGTGGGGGCAAGTGGCACATACTATCACAACCATCAACCAATCCCAGATAGGGAGAACTTCTGGGAAGACAACTTCACTGACTTGTTCATCGGCTAAACATCGCAAGTCATTTTGTAGGCCATATAAGCATTTGAACCGATCTTAAATAGAAGTGCAGGGGCACATTCCAGAAACATTGAAGTTGACCCCAGAAGACCTCATTGTTCACGTTTCATTTGCAACTGTATAAAGAGAATCACTCCCTCTTGAGTGGAGAAGCTACCGAATATAATGAGATCATGAAACTTCCACTTCTGAACAAAGCAAAGCTCACTATTTTGGCAACCACTGATGTCCAGTAGACCGCTTGGAAGACAAGTAGAATTCACTGGTAAATCATAGGCTCCATACTTGCTAAGAGTATTAGGATTACAGAATCCACAATTGTCTGATATTGAGTAATCGAACTCTTCCGCTGGTAGTATATATCGATATCCAGTGATTCCTTGTACCGTTACTTTTTTCTCGTATTTAAGTGTGGCAGATCTGGAATCAAACATATTCATTGAACTTTTCTGGCAGATTCAAATGAGCATACAAGTAAAATAGAGACGGACCTACATACGTCAGAAATGTAAAGCGGCAGCGATTCATTCTGCTTTATAAACGATTTGAAGATGTCGCCATCTAAAATATGAGTTAAATCTGTGCCTTACTGGTATCCATCTTTCCTTTCTTCTGAGGATCGATGCTAGAAGTCGCTGCATCTAATCATCGGCTTGACTGTACCTGCATGTTTATTCATTGAAAATTTCATTTATTTGAGTATTCGTGTGGAAGGAAAGGTCGGGTAGAAGATAGCATCGCTCAATTCTACGGCAATCGGTCGCACTCGAGGAAGTTCTCCTAAGCTCGATGAATGTTCACTTCACCCTTTGATGATATCATTGTCTACTACTAACCTAACGAGATAACTGGGAAGAACTGAATTCCTTTCCTTTCCATGTCCCTACTTCTTATTGGGGAAAATGATGATCGCGCTCCAACCTGGTAAAACATTTCATAATATTAATGAGCAGGGCTGTACTAATCTGAGAAAGCCCTGTCTATAAAACCATCAGTTTCAGCAACAGCATATGATCTTTGTATTGCATATATATGTCTGCTGCTGCATATAAATACCAGTTTGGCTATGCACGCTAACGCGTGCAGCATATGTCGACCACTTATCCACAATGGAGTCATCCAGCGGAATTTTGGATAATCAGAATAAGATAGTTCTTTCTAGACTCGAATGCTGAATTGCTGAGAGCATCACGCCCGATATATTTCATTTGAGCACGACTATTAGTGGTTGATCATAGCTCCGTCCACCTCAGCGCAAACCCTAACCATTATAAACTTGACCTCCCTTCTTTTGACTGCTTCTAACCATTTTTTCCGCATTCTAGAAAGTTCTGGAAGGGATGAGTTTTTGGTCCTAGCCCCGCTTTCCTGTGCCAGCTCCATTCACTTAGGGAATTTAACTACATTCGTTCCATTAGCTCTTCCCACTTCTTCCCCGCCTTCCAGAACGTTTCTGAACAGAGTTGTAAAATTTCGATCTAAGCCCAGCCCACCTTGGTGCCAACCCCGCCCACTTCGAGGATTTGGCAACATTTGTTCCACTACCTCTAGCCACTTTTTTCCCGCATTCTAGAACGTTTCCGAACGAAGTTGCAGTCATTTTTAAAAAGTAGCTTTCACCTAAACGCACGCCCCGCCCAATGTGGGGTGTGCCCTCTTTATTTTGGTTGGTGACCCACCTCTCACCTTTGCACATTTTTTCCCGGCGTCTGGACTGTTACGAGAGCGAATTAGAAGAATTTGCCCTTGGGGGCGGAGCTCAGCTGAGCTCACATGTGCTCCGTTGGTCTTGCCCTATGCTCAACATATTCCAAACTTGCTCGACCTCTCCAGGTGTCTCTTCATGTTATATCGAATTTCCGTACAAACAAACAAACAAACAGACAGACAGACAGACGCGAGCGCTTTATATATAGTAAGGATGGTTAAGGATCATTGAAATTGTGACGATATTTTTACTCGTTTAAATAAAAATACTTTCAGGACACTTACTAGTTCCTTCCAGTAACAGCGCATGCCCGTTGCATGACTTTGTTTCAGCTCCTGGCCACCTCAACATATTTCGTTCCAACGTATATCGTGCTTCAGAATTATCGTAAAAATTATTATATTTATAGAAAATGCATACCACTGGGAAGGTAATTTATCTCCGTTACTTGAGAGTGACTCATTATGCAAACTTGTGAAGGATATAGTGTAGCCAGCTCGAGAGTAGTCCGTTTTACCAGTTAGTACGGTATAGAGTGTATCCGTGGTACCATTTTCAGTCTAAAGAACATGTAGTGAGGTTAAGGGGGACGGATTGAATTAAGTTCTTTTTGCGCATCGAACTTATGATTAGGCCATCCTCATATATGCTTGAAAAACATCAGGCTCCCTGAACCACTACGTCGACACCTACAACAGCCTAACGAACTTCTCCAAAGAAGTGATTATCAATGAGTGGGGTACTCAATCATTTGGCAAAGTGCAGCTACTAATGGAAATACTTAGGCTTCTTTGTGGCTAAATGAGACCGCAAAGCAACCACCAAATCAGGATTTACCACTTAACAACAAGGTATTGCGCTCCTAGAGGCTCTGCAAGCCTCTAGGATCCACGATAGCGACACTTCCGAATAAAGTCTTAACTTTGTTACTGACTACTGTCCTCCATTCATCGGTATAGAGTGAATGTTTCTTGGTACCCCTCAGTACTTCTCCAGTGCAGAAGGTTCCTTCTATAATCTCCGAATACGTTCAGGATGACATAAAATAGTTCACAACTATTCCCAAAGAGAAACGAAAGAAACGAAAACGAAAGAAACCAAAGTATAGAATAGCAACATACGTTCAATGCAACAGTGAAGGCGGTTCCGTTGACTAGTGGAATATCGGTACCTATAAGCTTATTGGATATCTTGATAAGTCGGTCAGCAAGCTGAGATACTAGTGGAGAAACGTATCCTGAGAAAATGAGCTGATCGACAGTCTGAAATAAAAGGAACCTTACTACAAAAGTGCAATCAACTCTTGGCTGTGCCTGTACCGTTTGACAAGGTCTGTTGCATCAAAGAAAGCACACTGAGAGTGTTTTTAGCAATCACCACTGAGCGCTTAAAGAACAGCACGCTGCACTCCTTCGAATTTTGTCTTTGTCTGTAAATTGTGGGTCGAGAAATGAAAAAAGCTTTTACGTGAGCTCATCCAAAAAAGGGGAAGAGTGGAAGCAGAGTTTGGGCTAGATATTGTCTCCAAGGATTAAGTGTCCAAGTTGATATAAGGAAAAGCCCTGAACTTCTTGATCTCTAGATGACGTAGACAAGGTCATATCGGCCAGTCCTCTCTAAAAACCCCACGCTTTCTTTCAGGTTGGGAAATATACATCTCACAGAAAGGCGTACACAAAACATGTCAGTTCACGCACACACACACAACTGCTATCTGAACCCTTCTTCCATGGATCAAATCCTTTTCTGGAATGCGCTTTCGCATTCGACTTCTTCCATTCAGAATCGCCGTGGCATTCTCAATGGGTATACCCTCTTCAATACGGCGAGGGTCAACAAATGTACTATTTCTTGCTTTATCTATGAGTGCTTATATCCTCCTAATTGAATTTGGGACTGACCAGGATGTATGGAATGCTTGGTTGACCTAGGTGTCGACTATCATTCCATTCATCACAGCGCATCCCCTTTCTCAAGCACTTGGTGAATGTTTTGTAATTAACTTTTTGAATCATGATTTCTACACCTAACTCGGGAATGGACAGACCTGAAATGTTCCGTAGAAGAATCATTTCGGTAGTCCTGTAAGGGGTGTTCTTATGAAGCAATTACTAACAATAAGTTAAGGGAGGGAATCGGAATACGGGAATTTTCGTAGGTCAAAAGCGTCGAAGGGTAAGCCGCATGAGGTGTTCTAAAAATCTCGGTTGCACAGTTTAGGAAATGAAAGCCCAAACTCCCTATATCATACTTTCAAGTGATTTAGCGATTAGTAAACAAGTATCTCATTTTGCTGATGTGCCAAAGGATTAAATTTACTCTGTAGTTATGAATTAGACACAGAATTGCAGTCATACATAAAAGAACTCACGACGGTAACAAATGGCCCTGTTTTGAAGAGATCCATAAAACTGCCTATTTCTCTTTCAAAAATTTCAGCTAGTTTCGGACACTTGTCTTTGAGAAGTAATTGGCAAACGCCTTCGAGTTGTTGGTTTCCAAGAATCTTCTCTACGAACGCATCAATCTGGGCCATACCTAGCTGAAAATCAGACCATTTGAGTTATTGCCAAAAACTCAGAATAACCTTTGAGCATTCAAAGCTAAACAGATAAAATTCAAATAGTTCAAAGCAGGAGGAACATACGAAAAAGCTAATGTCGGGGATGGTCACAGTGTCTTTCTTCGGATCGCATGTTGGACAAGATTTTGCTGGATTGAAAACATATTGAGTTGCTTGAGCAAACTGCATCTTTTCGCCATTATCGACGAATTTTATTTGCGAGTTAAGTATGGTCTCACTGAAAATTCGGTTTGAAAAAAACTTAGATGTGAAGGTCAAAATATGTCTAGTTTCAAAAAAGTCAGCCCAAGTTTTCAATAATGTAAAACAACCTCATATCAAATAAAGTTCAGAACAGTACTTACTCATAGGCGTACGGACCCTTTTCATCTACATCTGGGTATAGAGCGCGGTTTAATATTCCTATCGTGTTTTTGTAATCGAAAGCCCAGTACTGCATCGTTGAGATATAAGACGGATAAGCCCATGTTTTCGTGAAGTCGTTCAGAGTTCCGTCGTCATTCAGCCCGAAGACTTTATTCTGTTGGACTCCAAAATGAATTAGCCATGTGTATGGTAGAGGAAAGTCAATATTACCTTGTTAACAGTTTTGGTGACGATATCTGGGAAAACCTTTACTAATACCACGATGCCACTAATGAGTAGCCCAGCACCTACGAGAAAAAGGCCGGCATTGACAGCGCTACATATCCATTGCCGCTTTAACATCTGCAAAGTGATGGTAAAAATGAAATCCCACTTCATGCATCTGTTTGGCCGCTCTCCATGCAACAAATGGCTTCAATGCAACTGCCATGAGTAAAATCAACGCCTCTAACTGTGCTATTGAAGTCAAATTTGTTGTTTGGAGACTGGGATGTATCAAGAGTTTCTGCTAACAAACACGTTTTCTGAGAGTAACGAAGTGATAGATTATGCTCTGAGTGTTGCTCTTACTCGATGGGCACAACATCATTTGTGCTTTGTAAATATCAGCTGCTTTAGTTGATAATTCCAACAAGACCGTACAATCCGGAAATATGAAAACATTCAAGTCCTTCATACCTGTGACAAGGCAGCCCTGGACGTCCCGCCACAGGTATGGCTCTGTTTCCATGGAGGAACTCCATTTCATTTCCGATTCCCATTGATTTGAATAAATAGGATTAAAGAATTATGAGTGGAGAATGAGTTCAGGGTTCATCGTAGGTAGCGTTGCATGCGTGGTCTTGCAGTCAGAATAGAGCAAAGTACAAAAGTACCCACTTTGCATGACGATACTTGCAGTTTTTTGTTGGCAAATGCACTCTTATCAGTGATATGGAACACTTGGAGAGCCCACTCAAATGTCGGTCGATAGTCAGGAAAGAATCGCGTCAGTCTTTAATCTGCTCTCCTATGTTCGCCTACGAAAAGCTTTCTGCAAATTTCTCTGCAGTAAACCGAGCTTTCGGCCGGAAAGAAGAAAATATACGCCTAATATGTTGATACAAAGTGAAAACTGAAACATCGACGCCAACGTCGGCTCCACTACTTGGTGTATGGATTCGATCCCAATAAAAGAATGATTGGTTACTCACTCTGAGAAGAAATGAAGTAACTGATTCAAAAATCGCAAGACCTTGCTCCCGGGAGGGGTACTGGAGCTAGTTGAGCCGAATATATGGTAGGGCCGCCTGATAAAGAATGTTTCGATGAGCTACTGGACGACATCCCTTGATAATCAGCGACGCTACCTTCGCTCAATGGAGATTTTCTCAAAACTGCTGCTGTAAATAAACTCATGGGTGAATGCGGAATATGGAGTTCACAAGACTCTTTTCCACGTGAGGCTGAAAACTGCGTCGAGTTTCAGCTTCAGTGCCCATCCTGCTTCGAAGACCTTAGCTATTGAAGAATAAACAAGTTTCTCTAAGTGAAACTTAAGGTGAGAGCCATTCCAACTAGAGACACCTGGCAATGACGAGGCGATGGGTCTCATCAGTGAGAAACAATAGGTTCCTAACATCACTTGTAGGCCCCTTTTTCGACCCACAATTACCTCTTTGCAGCCCTCTCGAAAAGTATTATCCCTCTAAAAAGGCTTGACGATCCACTTCCTTTCTAGAAAGCCCATTCAGAAAGGTCCTGATGACCAAATCTCGGAGGTGGACTGCAACCCTGAAGAATTCTTCCACCCTTTAATCTAAACTAATCTAAATGATTGGAATATCCTAGAGAAGCATTCATACGGGCTATTATGGAAACGTTGTTTACGTTAGTAAAAAAGAAATTTCCATCTGCGAATAATGTAGGTCCAAAATACATAGTGAAATTAAAATGTCATGGATATTCAAATAAAAAGCAAGAAGTGGATGCTCTTAGGCGGAATGTAGCCATTTCTTATCAGGCGCCCTAAACAAATAGTTAGAGTCGTGTTCTCGCCGATAGAGACGTCAGTATGGAGCATCTTGTAGAAGCTACTGTTGCGATGGGTAAGAGGTTTACTGATTCCCAGGGAAAGAACGAGCCATTCAGTTCGCATGCAGCAGATTTCTGTCCTCTTCGAAGTATTTTTCACTTCAGCTCCCTCTCTCGGTTATCCTACCTGAGCGTAAATCCACAGGTGTACAAATCAAACTGTTGAGATATGCCGCAAAAATTCATGAAAAAATTGCGTAATAAGTACTCCACTACTTCAGCCGACGTACTTCTTCAACTTTCTCCTCTTTTTTGGGCCTCAGATCAGGAGTGACATCAAACGGTAAATGTCATCACATTCATTTGTCATTTCATCTGATTTTCATTTGTCGAAAGACGTATTCATTTCATTGGTAAGAGAACACTGGAGAGTTGCGAGGAAAGAATAAGGTGTGAAATAACGTAATCAAAAAGCCGTTTTCATTGAGTAGAGGAGTCTCATTATTAGTAGATTTATGATCGGAAATTTGTATTACACTGTCATGGAAATGAGATTAATAAGAAAGAAATTGATGGCGTTAGGCAAGTTGCGTGGAGGCTAGTTCATGTAAAATGAGCACTGTACGAATTAGCTATTCGTATAATAAATGACGTTCACTTATGACTATCAGCTATAACTGATAACCTTCCTTTCAATCAAGATATAGATCGATACTGATCTGCTTGAACTCGGCTTTCCAGCGGCCTTTTTTTTGGTTTTTTATTTACTCCAACATGCTGGAAGCTAATCCGGAATCAGTTTTAGTAGGGCAATGAAATATCATCAACTCAGAAAAAAGAACGTGCTAGTTTCCATGATACGTTCTTCATCATTTGATTGTTTGCATAGAGGAGGGTGGTAGACTTTACCAATAAATGTTAAATGACGTAATTACTTACTGTTATTGTTACTTATCGTTGAAGAACGCTGCTTGACGAGGCAGATAGAAAGCTATCGTCCAGGCCATGATAGGTCATATCAAGCGGTTAAAGTTTTGGGAGAAACTTACGGCGCTGACAGCTACATCGAGTCTGTTCAACAAATCAGCGTGAATTCCAAAAGCATGTTCAATGTTCATGTTCATGCGGTCTGAAAGGCGAAGAGAAGGCGTGGTTCATGATGAAGCTGTTTCTTCGAAAAGTAGGTTTGCTGTCGTCATCGTTACTAGAAGCTACTTTTTTTCGGTATAGCTTGTATTGGATTAGGTATACTTATGAGGTATCGAATGAGAACAGGAAGGAAAGCTATCAGTATTATCTTCCGTCTGTCATACCTCTTTGACCAGAACCGATTTATACAGGCGCACTGTGACCCGCAGTTGACATTTCAGGGTCATAGCTCAAATATGAGGCATCTGAACTTTTTTGAACTTGTCTGCTGCCTTAATGAAGAATCAAGACACGATTAGACCGCAAATGTCGGCTATCCCAAAGATCAGTTAACAACTTCTGACTTCTTAGTCCACGCCCTTTGAAGTTTTTTAGATTGAAATTGTCCTTGTGGTCTTTCCAGGCTCCGAGGAACGAGATTTATAGATAGTCGCACTTCGACACCACTTCTAGAAGACACGACTGTGACTCTTACAAATACATTTTTACATTTACAATACATTTACAAATACATTTTTCTGTATGAGAAGGCTGATGGTTTATTTCTGCAGAGAGTCAAGAAGTGAAGAGGAGAACTTGTCTAATTCGAATACCAAGTAAGCTGTATCATCAGCGGTAGTCAGCAACTTAGTACGCGAGCCATATTCTTGTCAACACCTACAGCAACACTCAACTGCTTCTATCGTAATAGGAAATAGCGCTAATACATGTACTATTGCACTTTGCCGAAGCTCTTAAACGGGGAGGCAGAATACATTTGATGACTTTAGTTTCCGTGAGGGTAAAACAATTGTGTACTCCGATCTCGATTTGATCCATTTGTTTACAAAGCCGTTTAATGAACAAAACAAGAAGTTGGTTTAGCAGATCGATTATATAAAAGCTTTAAAGCCTCTGCTCAGACGAATCACTTCGTTACCCACCAATCCCCGAAGCTCATCAGTGAGTTGGGGTTAGTTAATAAGTGAATAAATTAAAAAATAAAAATCAGTCGTGATTAATAATGTTATAAGTGAATAAATATTTGAAAATGTAGAAATTCAAAGAATGATCTAGCGTGAATAAAGTACTAGAAAACAACCCCGACTAGAAGAAAAAGAAATATTCGAAAACTAGACCAAAATAAACACTAGAATAAGTGAAGATAATAGTGGAAACGTAACTAGCAATGGATGTAAGATAGGTTAAAAGAATTGAAAGGGGAGACACCATGAAAGTAAAGAGACAAAAAAAGGGGTTACTACATACTATGAAGAATTTTAGGAACAAAAAAGGGGGTTACTACATACTATGAAGAACTTTAGGAAAACGAAAATGTAGAAAATGATACACAACGAAATGTAAAATCCAACAACTAAACTAAGGTGTTTAGGTAGAACTATAAAGACGATCAGATCGATGGTCGATTCATGCTTTCACCTCGATGATAAATACAAAAGTCTCTGACGTTAATCAATCCCGTATGCATTCGCCTCGATATTTATTTAATTTTTCATCACGCGAGATCACATCCACTCGTTACACTGTTTTATTGCATGCTTCTTCTCCATAGAATAGGATCGTTGGCGTTATTCGCGAATTATTTTTCCCAACCGTGACGTGAATACATGTCCTGCCATCATGAATTAGGTTGTCCCAACGTTGTCTAACCAGGCATCACTTCGCGGTTATAGTTACACTGACGATTCACGCGAGATTTGTACTAGTCCATGATTAAACCATGGGCTGATAGACTACACTTCTTCTTGTCCTTTCTTGCTGTTTATCTATTTTTGACTCCATTCTTCCGTGGTTTCTTGTAATATGACACCGACTATGTATTTTTATACATACATTGTGTTGTTCTTGTCTAGGAGCTAGGTTCACGATACGAATGGTTACTGTGTTCTCCCCTGAGAAATACTCAGTGGCCTCCATAGGTGGTAGAAGGGGATGCTACGTAAAAATCTGGCGGCGCCTGCGAGACCGTAGCCGCGTCGCGGCTGCGTCACTGGAGCGTGCCGATTATTCACTGAGTGCTTTCAGAGGACAGAATACAGAAGACAACGAAACGCTGATCAGAATAACAATAAGCCGTCGCAGGAATGAGCCACGAATTAAAAAAAAGATCAAGAAGCCATAATGAAACTGCTAGTGATTTGAACTGTTATGGATTGAGTACACGTGGCGCGAGCGTAGATGAAATTATCACATTTAGAATGCCGCCGATAATACCTCTTTCAACTTTTTTGAAGCCAACATCTTTCAAATTTGAAGGGAGAAGTATTCTTTCCTGTGGAAATCTTGAACGATATAGTTTGCATCCTCTTCTGTCCTAAACTGAACTTCGCATCCGGCTTTCTTCCTTCCATCTCCCATTTCCTTATGCCTATCGACGTGATTTTTTCAGATCTTTCCTGGTACTGTGCCGAGCGATGTTTTATAGACGTCTGCTGAGTCCGAAAAGATGCGCGCGCGAGGGGCCGCCGGTCCTAAAAACGCATCCCAAACAGATGCCATCACAAAGCTCACTAACAAAATCCACCTTGATCATCATTTGAATCCGCAAGATCTCCAACAGCACGTATTAGGAGCTCTACTAAGCAATCTGTCCGTGAATTTGCGTTCCTGTGCAAGACTTCATTGTTTAGGCGCAAATGCCAGCGCAGCACAAATGCTAAAATCCACAAACAATCAGCTCACTCTCAAGTAATGAGGCGATATTTTATTGCTATTCTACTATTCTTTCTTTTCTTTCTGCTGCTGCAGTTATTCTTCTAATTTCCTTCGTTGCACATGCAATTTTATCTTCAAACTGCATTTAATTACAATGTAGGCAAGCACTAGATACAATGAATGAGTGAAAAACAACAAGGATAACATTTCAAATGATCTCACTGCGTCTGCACTCGAAGGCACGGTTCACGATTAAAATGGTTCCGGAGATTTGCACATGGTATGAGTTTGGGGCCCCTCTGATACCGGAATGAAGTCGAAAAACGATCTGGATAGGGCACAATAGGCGGCCGGAGAGTGAAGCATGGTCAGCCTTCTCCCCTCGTTCGGCTGACTACGAAATCTAATTGCCGTTCACCCCTTCCGCATTGGAGCAACACTAGTGAAAAACCAATAAGCTAATCGACCGCCTCCTACATAATAGTATTCGGCTGTATTTCTACTATTCGACTAATATTCTGCTCTATTCTGTTCTAATTAATTATTCCCAGCAGTCATCAAAAGGATCAGGCAGAATAATCTAGCTTAATATCAGCAGTAGAATAAATAATATTGACGATTAAGTCAGAACCAGTTGTTTGAGCGTGTTGTGTGCAATTCTAGACATTACGTCGCATTCATCTACTCACCTGAAAATTCCCTCAACTGCCGTTTTTTTGCCGTGTAAATCGTCCAACCCCCTTTCCTCTTCTTTTTTAAGCTTTGTATTTCCTTTCATTCATCGTTTCTCGCATCTTCTGCTTTTCCATTGTACTATTGTAGGCCGTACCTAACACTTTTCGTCAGAAACCGGATACCCCAAAATTATCGTGAACTGTGCCTTTAATGAGATACACCACCGAAATCGACATTCAAAGCAAGAAACTAGAGCAAAACGCATTGAACACATGACGCTAACATAGGACAAAATGATATCCACGAATACATTGCCGAGCCGGTTCAAAAGAAGAAGAGTAACACATGAATTGGTTTTCAAAAAGGCTCACCATATTCACTTTTTCAGCAGGGGAAAGGGGCAAGTGGGGATGACATGCTGACAGTACGTTTTAATTGAACATATTCTTCAGAATGAAGCCAGTGTTCTTGACATTTCACAAGAACACATCAACGACCGCACTTGAAGAGCATGGAATAACAAATAGAGAAGCAAGTGAAAATTTTAACAGAACGAAACAACGCAATACAATCAAGCTAAATATATACATCATATCGTAAAAACATCAACATAAAGTAATTTGACTTACCTTATCATCCAGCGAATTGAATGCGCAGAGGAATGGCCACAATGCAGCAGAATAATAGCAAGGGAGAAAATCGATTTACGTGCTTCTTAGGAGCGCGAGCGCGCCAAACTGCGCGGTGAAGTTCGTGGCGATTTGAACGACTTCGACGCTTTCCATTGGGCCACAACTTTTAAGTGAAGTGGATAATTAGGATTAACCATTTTTATTAATATTCTACAAGTTCGTGCCCCAAAGAGTTGTTCGAATTTTCCAGAACTTCGCCGCGCAATCTGCCGCGGGCATCCTCTGACGCACGTATGTACCCATACCCGAAGTGAAATCAGCTGTTCCGGTGTGTTGTGTACAATTGCAGACATTACGTCGCCTTTGTCTACTCTCCCAAACATTCCCTAAACGCAGTTTTGTCTCAGGGAAATTCATCTAACTCTCCCCCCCCCNCCCCCCCCCCTTCTTACATTTTTTTGACCTGTATTTCTTTCAATATGCTCTCAATTTTTTGCGCTTTTTCGTTATTTTCGCACTATTCCAGAGAGGATCTTCCATTTTCCGTGCAAACCGAATATCCAAGAACCGTGAACTGTGCCTTCAATATGATGCTTTTAGGACTAGAGAATTCCAAAGAATATCGCTTTATCTGCAGCTTGCCGTTTGACTTTTGTCTAGCATAAAAAGGAAAAATCTTGCGTAATCAAATAATTAGTTGAAACAAGAAGCACGCAAAGCAATCAGATATAGGCGATGAAGTGAAGATGTCGGTGGTATTGGATAGTTCTTGCTCATACTAAACAATTTCATGGACTTTCTACTGTTGGACTAACTATTGTTGTTTTCGCTGCTGCTGATGTTGCACAGTTACGATAGTATAGGCACAGTTTTCAGGATGATGTCTTGTGATAAACTCATTTTTTGTTACATGTACCTAATTTGTGTATTTCCTGATCCTGAAATAAGGCATGTCTCAGCAATCATTTCTACGGTGTGATTAGCACTGATTTGATAAGAAGAACTTAAACATCAAAATCGGACAAACCCTTCTTGCGGCGGTTGAGTCGTGGTCTTCGCGGCGGAGCGCGTTATTTTGGAGTGTCTAGAAACTGGGTGAGGTTTGGACATCACGCACTTCGGTCGAGGCTATTCAATTATAATAGTTGTGATGATTACATTTTCATTGTTTTGTCTTCATGTCGTTATCAGGCAAAGCAAAAGATAAAAAGCTGAGGAGAATGGGAACACTAAGAAGGTAAAACATTCAAGAAAAACCATGATTCGAACTAGAAGACTAAAATCTGGTGAAAACTTAGAATAGTGCTGGTGAGGATTTTACATATGTTTGTGTAGCGATGAAATGTGAAATCTGCAGCGAAGCGGAATAGTTTACAGGGCTATGAACCGCGGTCTTACTTTTTTTATCGTGCAAAAATTCAATAAATTTTAGTTTCAGCGGAGAGTGCCCTGTTGAGAAGACTAATTTTTATAGTTTCAGCTTTTACTGTTGTTATCCTCGCCAATGAATAACTTTTAGCTTGCTGCATTATATGCGGGCAGCGCATGGAGTTTTCACACCTAAGTGAGATCTCCTCGCTTTTCGAGCATTGCCTTTGCTTCTTTCTTTCCATAGATCAGCTTTTCCGTTTCTGCAGTCGCTGGCGCTTGTACAAAAGCGTATGGCTCATATTTAAACATCTCTTTAACCTGGAGACCGTCATTCATAACCTCTTCTGATTGCATGAGAAACGAAATTTTATTAAAAACTTCCATATATATCCAACATAACATGAGGGCAGATGCAGTATAAGTAAGACGCACATATCATACAGCATACTGATGTAAATGAACTCGCATTTTAAACTCTTCATCGCGGCAGCGTGACTTTTTGCGAACAGACACACAAATTTAGCGCTCTCTACATAGAAAGATAGGTGCAATCACATAAATTTTCAGTGTTACGTGATATGTAGATACAAATACTCTTTTGCTGCCCTCGTATTAAATTGCATAATATGATGTAGATTCTAACAAATTATTGCTTCTAATGTAACATTTTCACGCCTTCTAATGCAATCCATAGTCATTGTGCAGAAATCAGAAAAAGCCTATTGGGTAGTGAAAAAAAGAAATAAAAAGCAGAACCGAATATAGTAATATTCAAAACTAACCAAGCAAGTCACGAAACCGGTTCAATAGACCATCGGTTGTGGAGAGTAGCTAATCAGCAATCGTCTTGGAAGAAACATGACCGAAGAAGCATACAACAAAATAGAGGCGCATCACCAAAATAGTATTCAATATTCCCTCAAACGTTCAAAGTAATAACTCATCAATCACGTCAAAGTATTGGGCTCTACCGTCGGGGGAAAGTGAGGGAACAGGAAAGGGGAAGTTATGAGTTAACAAGAACGTGCAACGCAGTTATCAAATGGCGATTCTCACAGACACCGTGAAATAACGTGCTCCAGTGCGAAGGCCGCGACGCAACTGCCGCGAGTAGGGTTTGTCTGATTTTTTTGTTTATGTTCTTCTGATTTGATTTGCTTGTATCCTTTCGCGGGTAGGTTGTGCGTGCCATTCTCTCGCTTTGTCGTCCTGGTTTCTGCAGCCTCGCGCCGGCTGTCTGCTGCCTGACCATAGCCCAGGTAAACATAACCTGTGAGGTCGCGATTACGGTAGCACGAGTAAGCCTTCAACAGGAATCTTCACTTACCAAGACACAAGTCATTTTATTGGCAATAAAAACTTAGGCGCCTACAATTAAAAAAAGAGGCACAGAATAACTCGTCTAACGTCTAATTCGGCTGGATCCCGAGCGAGTTCCCCCCAGAACTACATTTCTTCGAGTTATAAAACAAAAAGAAAACGCAATAAGGTGAGTCACTGTTACATGAAAAATTGTTTTAACATTATAACAAGGTGTTCCTTCTTCTTTCTTAACACTGCTACTGGTGTTCGGATCCATTTGGTTCAGGTGGCGTCACTAGCATTTCGCTGAACGCTCCCTGATTTCTTCCACGTCCTCCGACAGCTTATTGGAAAACTGGAAGCATTCGATACATGTATTGTTACTACATAGATGGAAAAGAAAGGAAAAGAATAGAGGTTCACTTACATTTCTAGAATTGTCACATACTGGTGTGACAAGGTCGAGCAAAGCGTGCATGTGGTCATCAATCTCGCCACTGATCTTTTGCTGGAGAGTTGAAAGAACGTCTTCTCCATGCAGTGATGAGCTCGATCCGGCCTTGAGCTCACTGAGCTCTCGCATCTTTTTACGGTATATGTCGCACGACCGATACTCCCACTGAAAAAAGGTGAAATCAATTATATTCTAGAGGACAAGGAAATCGAAGGTAGGAATCCAAACATATTAAACTTACTAGTGTATTTTCCAACATCACTTCATGAATGTTCTGATCGGGATGCGGTCTACTGAAAGAAAAATCGTTTAGTCTGCACAACCTAAGGTTACAACGAAACATTTAGGCGTTTCAGGCAGACTTACACGTTCTTTTGCTCGTGTATCATAGTAGGAAATCAAGCTGACTTCGCAGCATCCTGGCGTGGAGTTCAGCCACCTTGCTCTGGAACTTTCTGCGAGAGAAACCCTGGCAACAAAGTTTCTGAAAACAAATTATATTACATAGTATGTGAATAACATTTTCTTCTTCCTCTTCTCGAAAATACGGCGAGGGTTCTCACTGTCTCATTGAAGGGCAGCCATCTTTCGGCAGCCACTTTTTCTGTTGTACTTCCCAGTCTCCGCACTGTAGCTCGTCCAAGGCACGAGCATATGAACTCCCTCACTTTATTCTCTCATCACACTCCATAATATACGGTATAGCTCAAGAACTCATCTGAAGCTTCAGGACGAGCTTCCTGTAGAAAGGGAGGTGTCGTATCATCGTCATCAGCCCAGCGGTCGAGGACACCTGCCACGCTACACTGCCGGTGTGCATATAAGGAGCAAGCTGGCAACAAGGAGACGACTGCCTCCGCTACCACACGGCCCCGCCGCCTCGGCGTAGGCTGAAGAACCTATCCACCACTTGTATCTTCATTCTCCCCATCATATTACTTTTAATGCAATAACGATAAACAATTAACATAATCTGTTTGAAAACGTAAACACCGCTACACATCGGATACATAGGTCCGTACAGCCTGTTATCTGATAGATTCGCTATGCTTCAAATTTGTCTCAAAAACCCTCTTTGTCTTTGTCTCTAAATAAAAAGGAATGATTTTGTCTGGAATAACGCTATGCTCATAACCTGAGTAATTGGAACTCGAACTCGGAACTCATTTGAAAGGGAAACACTGCGAACATAGGACAAATTGTATATATGTGACAAATCAGCTTGTACAAAGTGTCGTCTTAGTACAAGGTTTAACTCGGATGAAGATCGAGCGAGGAAGAAGATTTCGCATCTCATAGGATGTCCACAGTGAGCCTGGAGCTGGATCGCAATTCACAGAAAATGTATACGCTCTCTCTGCTGTTGTGAGCGAAACTGATAAAAACCGAGAGATATGCATTCTTCAATGCATTATGCATTATTTTCGTTAGTTTACGATATGATGCTCGAATAATAAACGTTTTTTTTCTTACACTATGTATTTCTTAACATGTGCCATGTTTTCCACGATACCGTGTTGCTTTAATGCAGTGTGGCTCAACAGAGTCCTGGGTTCGAATTCCTGAAATGGAAGTTTCCTAGTCCGAGACGTGTCGTTTTGCATCACAGGAGGTGGCTAACATAGGTGAATGTGATCATATGGTTTTTTCCTTGCTACTTTCCGATTTCATATCCCAAGGCAATAAAAGTATCAGTGTGTTCCGAGCTGGTTGCAAATTCCTTAAAGTCTGTGTATAAAAAAAACTCTGTAAAAATTCTCGTTCACTCAGAAACCTCCACACATCTACAAAAGCAAAAATAGCTTCGAATCAAAACCATAAAAGCTGTGGGTTGACTTACTTTGTTTGCATAGCTTCCAAATCCCTCCAACAACCTCTGCCACGCAGAAAAGTACGTTGAAGACGTGCAGCATTAGATTCCGACAAAATGAAATAATATCATGAACTGCCATTCATTAAATTATGAAAAAAACCACGTTAAAAGAAAATAAAAAGCGCTGTACTTTAGAGAAATCAATCTGGGCTGAGCCCATACTTTTTGTTATTTCTACTGTTGATAATTATCGAATGGTGAAGAAAATTACTACATTCAAGCACATGAAATAATGCATAAAAGAAAGAATACCGCACGAAAAGATAACGAGAACGTAGCAGGCAATTCAATATGTGAATGCTGCTCAGTAATTAAACTAACTCATCCATGGCACCGCACCTGCAGGCTCCGCCCTTCAAGAGGGGGGACCTCATTGTGCCTACGCCCGAGTAACACCTTTCTACCTACGCATCATTCATTGCAGTACGAATTTCAATACTCTTCTTTCTTCTTAGGGTCCTAGTTGCACAACCGTGCAGAACTGTTAGTTCTGTCAGGGTTTAGTAGACACTACACTTGAATATCACCGCAACTTTTTTGAGACGGAAGCGAAAGCGGTTGAGTGCGCGCCTGATCCAGCTGGAATTCTTCGTTGTATAACGATTCTCCAGGTCTAATTCTCCACAGTCTGATTATCCGCTGTTTGATCAGCGTCGCAGAAGACTTTGACCAAAGCAGATAAAACTTGTGAAATATGAAGTGGTGTGTGTTGGGGCATCTGTGATCTCTATTAGTATAGTAATTGATCTTGTATAGTACTAACCTTCCCGGTTTGACCAGGAGATCTGGCGGGCCGGAGCAGTATATAAACTGTAACTTTGTTGGACATTTATTATTCATGGCTTCTAATAAATCTTCCTTCCTCTTCTTCCCGACCTTCCAAGGACACAACAGTATGTCTACTTAAATAGTATAATTGGTTAGAATTGCGGTCTTCGGAAAATTGATTTTAAACTCAACAATCCACCCTTTCCTTTCTCACCCGTCATGAGCTCCACATAACTACATAAGTACCTCGCCATTTGCATATCTCGAGTGGTCGAGATAGGAGCCACTAACACCAACTGCTACAGGGCAACATACACACTCTTCTTTCCTTGTATTAACCAGGCATCGTGTATATCCACCTTGTCAACTCATAACGTTTGAGAGGAGAAAACGGTTCCGAAATGATTACCTTGACAGGATAACGACTTCTAACGGCGTCATGTACCAAAATCTAACGCCCTTTGTTTATCGGTAAAGGGAATGCACAAGGAAATATGTATTTACTTCTAGATGAACTTCGTTTCAGTTAGCATCGTCATGTCAGCTTGCAGGAAAGTCCCAGAGTCGCTGAGAGAGCCCAGAACAAGTCACGATTTAGGAGTCCCACCGCGACGTTACCTCCGAAGATGGATCGACAGGCCGAGCTTCTCTAGCTTCTCCCGAAGCTCTCCGAAGCCTTTTGTACGCTATGTGCGCTATGAGTTAAAACCACACCATGAATCAAGAATTCATGACCGTTGATATGGGTTTCACTGAGCTTCAATTTTGGGCAGCAGGAAGCGCTTCTGCAATGGTGCCATTAGTTCTCCCGAAGCGTTTCATTAATGTTCTGCAAATTGGATTTTATTGTGTTAACTACTCAATCTGGACTTTGAACAGATGCCTTTTTGCAGGGGATCTCTTGGCCCAAAGTCGCTGTTTGACAGTAGTCATATCAGTTTTTGACCGTATAAAACTCGACTGCACATCTTCTTGATTGGTGATGCAATAGGCGTTTTCAGAAATCGCAAGTGGCTTCAAAAAGGTGGAACTGAATTTTCTTCTACAAGGACAGTTGTCCATCAAGGATGTCAACTTTCTTAGCCGCAGTTCCCAAGAATTTTCCTTCTTCATTGATGGTTATCTAGCCATGGTAGTCCAATGAATATCTTATTTTTCTATTCACTTCCATTCTTTATATCTATGTCACAATAACAATTTTAGACAGCCGATAACATTCATTTTCCTCTATTATTATATTATGCTATGACCACTAGACTTTACTATACTACAGTACTTTATTCTTGTTATTGAATTATTATATCTATCTATTTTTATTCTTGTGGAAGAGCAGTACTTCTTCTTCAACCAATCGTCTTAGATATAGTCATTTGTTTCAGCAATCTCTCGATTCTCCTCCTTGGTGAACGGTAGTTGGTACATACCCTTGAACTACCCTGGTTTTTCCAGGTTTTATGGTGGCGTCGACATATTAAGTTCTCAGATACCACAAAACGGCGGAACCTTTCAAGCTTTTCGTTAACTGAAGATTCTGATAGACTTGAAAAATAACCTCCGTGATTGGAACACTGTACAATCAAGGCTTATCTTCTTCTCTCTCAGAACCGGAAAAGTCGAAAACATCGAATGATACATCCGTGGTGGCATTCTCTATGTGGGTAGATTTTGTCTCCATTCGGAGGGTTCATTAGTTCAAAGACCATATTCACTGATTAAGATACTTTTTCATCGATGCTGAAATACAGGCAAAATATGTATGTGCATTTGAGAAACGGGATTGATCATTATGGATAACATTATTTCTGGTTTTCTACTCTCTCAAAGTAAGAATTATGGGTGTGTACATTATTTTCTCGTGCCACCTTCGACTGAACTAGATAGATATTGGGGCGAGAATTCAAATTTCTTTATAAGCTTTAAAAAGTGGTAAAGAGGAAATGAAAACAAGATTTTATTTATAGTAATAAAAAAGAAATCAATTTGCCAACATCAGCTGGATAGTTGGAGCAGCAACTGCTGAGATAGATCCATCCGGATTCTTGGTTTCCTGGAAATACTGGTTTCCTGAAGCTGAATACAATTCCACATATTGCAACTCAACGACTTCGAGGTAAAAAAAAACATGCGGAATCAATTTTTTCATAAGTGGGAATAGTTAACGACGTACCCGTGGTTTCAGATCGGGCGATGAGTAAAGGCCTTCATCAGATTTCTTGAAGGAATCAATGACGAGAACACCACTTGGTTCGACATGAGCGCTGGATTCAGGTTTAACCGGAGTATTATCCTGGAAAATATAATATAATACAATAATAATAATAGGCCTATGCTTGTTCAGTCTCCATGGGAAGATCAGGTATAGAACCGAAACAACGTGCTGCGCTACCCCGACCCGTTATAATTAACTATACTAGTAAGGGAAAACAAACGACTACGGTAACCCATTACAGTCTACGGGAAACGTTGTCCAAAGAAGGAAGTTCGCAAATCAAACACTAAATTTCGATAAGTCAGGTTATGCCGAGTACTTGCTTTTCTAGATGTAGGGAACAGCACATTTTCGAGTAAACGATGCACGAGGCTGATTTGTGCGCATACGTGAGTTTCTCGCCGCTCGCGGAAGTTCGAGATCCGGTACACCGATGCGCCTTTATTCCTTTCACCAACTATTCCGAAAGTGTAGAATCAAAGAGGACGGGTCTTTAGCAATTTTTTCAAACACTGAAACTCATTATTTTACTACGTTGGGTCACATACTTCCTTGACAAATTGCGAGCATCGAGGCCCTTTCTCGGTGGGACCACAGTACTTGATGAACTCGTCGCCATTGCTAGTCTCACGCTTCCAGGTGACCACTCCTGATCCAAGGTTCAATTCGACTCGTTCTCCTAACTGAAATGCATTCACATCGGAGACACTACGATTTGTTCGAAAGCCCTACATGGAACAAACCTTTGCCTGCTGGATTGCGATGGAACCGAACGCGCTTCCAACGACAAAAAGCAGAAGAATGGCCTGAGTCCACATTTCTTCAAAAATTGAAGATGTAGAGAAATTAAATTAACAGAGTCAAGGAACGATTGCGTTGGGCATATGTAAACACATTAGGAAAATTCCGTCAGAGAGGAACTCTCAGATAAAAATGTTCCGGTCTCTTTACATCATATAGTAGCTTTACTGATGAGTATGGATTCTGTGAAGCCACTCAGATAGGACTAGGAAATGTGATTGAACGAGGTCAGAGGCGCTCCCATCAATCTCAGGTTCAGGCTTGAGCAACCTTGTAACATTGATCGTACCGCTATCGTGCCAAATACCACGTTTTTCTTGCACAGGAATGCCTCTCCTCTCCCTACTGGGGTACGTGAATGTGAACAAGGGTATAACTATCACCCTTTGCCTTCCCAGAAGACAAACTGTGCATGCGCTGTCATCCCGTTGCGAAAATATCGTTTTAGATGACTGCCGAAGACGGCATTTTTGAAAAGATCTGATAGCATTTACTAGAATTCACAGAAACATGTTGGTGAATTGCTTGTTTTGGAAGAACTCGCTCCATAAGCCTTTAATGTAATCGTGACCCATCTACATAGTGACTGCTTATCTATGCAACGTAACAACTGGTCGCTGGTCGCCGTGAAATGGGGACGCGAAGGATAGTCATGCTATGAAACAAAAACAAGCTCATAAACAAAACACTAACACTTATGTATAGATTGAAAGTATCGACATACGCTAATTCTGCAAACTTCTTAAAAATAGAATTTCCTGTGAGCACCCATTCTTGCTTGGGGACATGAAGTTCACAGCCCGGCAGAGGGATCTGTGAGCACAAAGCCGCAATCAGCTAGGCGCTTTCGAGGTCAAGCTTCTTGCAGATTGCCCAACACCGGCTTGAGAGTCTGTAACTGTTCACTCAAGGGAGAATGATCGTATTTGGAAAGGAATTAAGCAGTGCTATACTGGATGATGCCAGATCCCACCCCGTTAGGTACTTATCAATAGACCGTATTTCAGAGGAGAACCCACGATTCGTATCAGAAAAGCCAAATTCCACCCAGCCATACCACGCTACATTTTCAAACTCGAGGACAATGACTCTTGGGAGTCACACAAAGCAGCTTCGAATATTCATTTTTTGCGTACTCAACACCCAAAAGTCAAACAGAGAAAAATAAAGGAGAGCTCTGGTGGTAAGAATTCTGCAATAAAGAGCGCTACTTGACAGTTGGTTAGATTTAGCAACAAATATGCCAAGAGAACCAATATGAATCAACTACATGAATATTGCGGAAATCAGACCCTGTGAGCCTCTCGACACTTGAAAACTGGACTCGAAAACTGGAAACTTGTAGACTGACGCATTATGTAAAGAAAGACCAGAAAACCTACAGTTAATGCATAATGGGAGGAACGAACACATGACTTATCGTAAAAAATATGGCAGGAACGCACTTTGTTTCAACTTTCTTAGTAATCTTTGCCCACAATACGAATTTCTGCAGGTAGTCTAAATGAAGTTACAACTGCGTGGATCATGTGGTATTACTTTATGGCTTTGGGATACGATGGAGACCTCAATACACATAGAAACCTCAGGCTTAGGGAAGTACTGACAAAGTGAACGGAGCAATATGAAAGCATTTTTTCGCTCTTTTGCGATGCTAGGCAAGCGATGAGCGGAGAAATTGTAAACCGCTTAAAAAAGAAGATTGCTAGCCGAACATTATAATAGCGCTTCTTAGAAGGAGAATTTGGGGAATATATAAGGCTCAGGAATATGGTGCCAACATTATTGAAATATCAGTGACAAAGATCAAAAAGCAGTATCGAAAATTCAATATCCATCCCCAAGACGTTCTTTTTATATAAGAAAACCGTGGCTAGTCACGGAAGTCGCCAGTAGGAACTGCGATTTCTTCTTATTTAAAATTCTGATGCAATCAAAATATCGAAATGTATGCGAGCATATTGTTTTGTTCCCATGCTAGATTGGGGCTTATAAAATGTGTCCCATAAATATTTCAACGAATTCTTCGTGAATTTGGAATTTTGTTGCATCGAATTTGTTTTGGATGTGATTCGTAGAAACGCAATGAATCAGAAAAAAGTTTCAGCACAGTATTCTCTGTATTGTTCCTTGCTGAAACTTTGGCAGAGGTTTTCTGGCATTATACTTTCGGAAACCGAAGACTACATACATACATCACCGACAAAGCGCAAGCTCTTACTACTTTAGTTTGAGGTATAATATCTTCATTAGCAAATTTTGTTCGTAGAAGTAAGGTCGAAGAAAACCAAGAGTCTCGTCCTTAGGGTATCGAGGGACCTGTCAATCTCGTTTGAGGCAGGAGCCCTACATATTTAAACGTTGAAAAAAATGATGGTTGTCAAGGATCGCTACCCTATCCTGCCCGTCGATAAAACAAGAACTTATTACTGAATTAAACTTTCAAAAGTAACCTTTT